TTTAAGCTTTAGACCATTCTGCTGTTTGAAGGGAACATGCGTCCAGTCTGGGGAGGAGAGGTGGGGGCCGGCGCTTCTGTTCATATGTACGTCGGGTTTTAATTGATATTGTTGAGTTCATCTGCCAGGGCTGATAAGTATGGCTTAGCCCCAGATCTGTAACTCTGCCAAGATTTTGAAAAGATTTTTACCCCTCCTGTCACCAGTGCCCCTGCATTGGCTGCCATATTCTTCCAAGAGTAGTTCAGCATCAGGCCCTCTACCTGTGCCCATAATACACATTAGAATTAGGGGCACCTGGGCGGCTCAGTCGGTTATGCGTCCGACTTCGGCTCAGGTCATGATCTCGAGGTTTGGGAGTTGGAGCCCCACATCGCGCTCTGTGCTGACAGCTCGGAGCCTGGAGCCTGCTTCGGATTCTGTGTCTTCCTCTACCCCTCCCCCACTCACACTCTGTCTCTCTCTCTCTCTCTCTCTCTCTCTCTCAAAAATAAAAATAATAAAAACAGTTAAAAAAAATGGATCATCTTTAAAAAAAAATAACAAACCTTATCTTATGGACTGTCATGGGCATGACAAATTAGTTTCACTGAAAATACTTAATATTCATTTCAGTAAATTTTAATTTCTTTTAACGTTTATTTATTTTCGAAAGACATAGAGACAGAGCACGTGCGGGGGAGGGGCAGAGAGAGAGGGAGACACAGAATCCAAAGCAGGTCCAGGCTCCGAGCTGTCAGCACAGAGCCCGACGCGGGACTAGAACCAGGAGATCGTGACCTGAGCCGAAGTCGGACGTTTAACCGACTGAGCCACCCAGGCGCCCCTCATTCAGTAAATCTTAACCTCCTTCAATAGGCCAGACACATGGATTCCAGGACAAATGTGGGTGCAGACTCGACCGAACTCCTAATCTGGGGGAAGCAGACAGAGCTGTCGGTTAATAACCATAATTAACATCAATTCTCTTACATCAGCTAGCGTTCTGACGTTTGCCTGTGCGTTAAAATCATCACGTTTGTACTTCCCAAACAAACAAACAAACAAGCCAATTTCTCGGGCCTTACCCCACAGCTGCCGAATCGCAGTCGCTTGGGGTTGGTCTTGGGAATCTGTATTTTTAACATATACCCCTCAGAGTTCTGCAGTTAAGTTTGGGAAGCGAGATATGGGCAGAAGCAGGATACTGTGGGATCCGAGGGAGAAGCTAAACCCGTCTGTGGGTGGGAAGATGAGCCAGAGGCTCACAGCAACGTTGAAGCCACACCGGCAGGAGTGAGGGAGCATCGGGTATGTAGAGAACAGGACGTTACAAGGAGGGAGAATGTGGGTGAAAGCGCAAAGCAAAAAAAAAAAGGAAGGTTTGTTTTGGATGGGTGCCCGGGGGTAAAGGCCAAGAAAGGCGGTAGTAGGTAATGCTGAAAAAGGTGGTCATGACCCCCGTGTGAGGTCTGTGGACTTCAAAGAAGCCAATAGACTTTATTTTAATGTTTATTTATTTTTGAGAGAGAGAGAGAAAGTGTGAGCAGGGGAGGGGCGGAGAGAGAGGGAGAGAGAAAATCCCAAGCAGGCTCCACACTGTCAGCACAGAGCCTGATGAGGGGCTTGAACTCTCCAACTGCGGGAGCATGACCCGAGCCGAAATCAAGATCGGACGCTTAACTAACAGAGCCACCCGGACACCCCAAAGCCAAACGATTTTAAGCAAGAGAATGTTACTCTTGGTAAAGGAGGGGAGTGACCCGATGTGGGGGGAGAGGCAGGGAGTTCCGTCTGAAGGCCGTCCGGGATGTTCTCATGAACAATTAGCTAACTGCCAATAGCGGGGTGGCTTGAAGGGTATTTCTTAGCTAAGATGGACAGCACTTACTGATAAATTGTGGTTTTTTGGGGCGCCTGGGTGGCGAAGTCGGTTAAGCGTCCGACTTCAGCCAGGTCACGATCTCGCGGTCCGGGAGTTCGAGCCCCGCGTCGGGCTCTGGGCTGATGGCTCGGAGCCTGGAGCCTGTTTCCGATTCTGTGTCTCCCTCTCTCTCTGCCCCTCCCCCGTTCATGCTCTGTCTCTCTCTGTCCCAAAAATAAATAAACGTTGAAAAAAAAAATTAAAAAAAAAAATTGTGGTTTTTTTGTTTTAAGAGGGAAGGCACAGTAGGGTGGCCGAGCTTAGCTAACGGGGAGAAGTGAGGTCATTGCATGTGGCAAAGGAGCGGGGGGAGGGGGGGGTTGATGACAGGAGATGAATTCTGCCTTGACCCTGCTGCGTTTCAGAGGCCCTGGGGGACCGCATGTCGTGGGCATTTGGGTGTCTGAAGATGGAGATTTGGAGCCCACAGCGGAACAACGGTAGACAATGCCCTACCTTGCAGAGAGCCACTCAGGGTGCACGGGGGAAGGCAGAAGGCTGGCTAGGGGGGATGGGGACAGCTTTGGCACTGGAAGCCGCTGTTACAAACACTTTGCGTGCAGCTGTTTATTTATTTAAAAAATCTTTGATGTTTATTTCTGAAAGAGAGAGAGAGCACAAGTGGGGCGGGACAGAGAGAGAGGGAGCCACAGAATCCGAAGCCGGCTCCAGGCCCCGAGCTGTCAGCACAGAGCCCCATGCGGGGCTCGAACTTACGGACCGTGAGATCATGAGCTGAGCCAAAGTCGGACGCTCGACCGACTGAGCCACCCAGGCGCCCCCACGCAGCAGTTTCTTTAATCTGTCTGAATCTCCCGGTGGGCATCAAAGTCATATGGCAATGGGTTAGAGTCCTAGAATCCTAATAATAATAATAATAATGCCAGTGAGCTACAAGAAAGGCGTTCATGTGGCTCTTTCACAAACGCCCTTGGCTTTGCTCCTCCTCACTGAAGTAGGTGCCTCTCTGGGTGCACTCGTGATGGTTGATGGAGACACTGTGCCTTCCGATCTCAGTTTCGGTCCCTGAATTCTCGTCATCGAATCATCAAAAAATTATCAGTACTATACATTTAAAAGAAAGACTTGAGCTGGGCAGGATGGTTGTGTTTATCTCAGAGCATGATGAGTTTAGTGACCTTTCTTATCCTTAGGTATTGGCCTCACCCTGTACGTAGGACAGTCAGTGTGGCAGGGGAAGTTTTAATTTACTTGTGTTCGAGCACAGAGTGAGCGAGTTTCGCATGTGCGAGCATCTTGATACGAACTCTTCAGAATGGTGATTTCAGGCTGTTTCAGGCTGAGGAACTCTTTTAGTTGACGATGATACGCATTTTAGTTTGGCAATCTTTGCGTTATTTGTTTTGCAGTTGTGGTGGAAAAACAGTGGCATAATCCGTGAGAGGTAGTGCTTAGGAAGTATGTGGCCCGTTTAACTTATTCAAGAAATGCCTTCAATTGATGTCCAGTTTAATATTTTACCGGATTCAGGTGATGGTGTGGATTTCAGCACTAACTGGAATGCATTGAGTCCCATCAGCTGCAATGAGTCTCCGGAGATATGGGAGACTCACTAGAAACCCCAAGTGCAAACTGTTTCACATTTGGGGCAGATTTGATGCAGATTTCAAAGAATGGACGAGAGATTGTTTAAGGATATCCGCTTCAGTCCATCAGCCAACGGAATATTTGTCAAACTTCTATTATTCATCCAACAAATATTTACTGAGCACTTAGTGAAGCCTAGGTACTGCACATTTGCTATCTCCTTTTTATCCTTGCAGCAGTTAGCAAGAATTGTAACCCCACAATTTTGCAAGATTTAGAGCAGTCAGGCTTAGCTTGTTCAAGGTGCGAGGGGAGCCAGAATTTGACCCGAGTCTGAGCTGGCCAGCCTTAAAATCCGTATCATTTCCTCCTAGCTGGTCCTTGTCAGGAATATAAGATACATAAGCCATAGCTTCCCACACTTAGGGTTGACAGTGAAGTCTAAAACAGAAGACTTAAGTCTCTAAGCATGTAAAGCATTAGGTCTGCGTGCAGAACATCCAAGGGCGCCTGGGTGGCTCAGTCAGTTAAGCGTCCGACTTCGGCTCAGGTCGTGATCTTGCAGTTCGTGAGTTCGAGCCCCGTGTCGGGCTCTGTGCTGACAGCTCAGAACCTGGAGCCTGAGTCGTCAGATTCTGTGTCTCCCTCTTTCTGTGCCCCTCCCTCCCCTGCTCATGCTCTGTCTCTCCCTGTCTCTCAAAAATAAATAAATGTAAAAAAAAAAAAAAACATTTTAAAAGATTTTACTCTACAAAGTACAGAAAAAAGAACAAGATACGTATTTTAACAGTGAGTGAGGTCATTGTCCAGAGTATAGTAAATTACGACGGAGAGAGATGACTATGCAAATGGCATTTGTAACTTACGTAGAAATGCATATTCTTACTAGTAACTAATCTAGGAGGAAAAAAATAAAATAAAATTGCAAACACAGCACATGAGTTGGGTTATGTAGAAACAAGTATATGGCAGTCTGGTGGTTTTGTCTTTTTAAAAAAAATTTTTTTTTCAACGTTTATTTATTTTTGGGACAGAGAGAGACAGAGCACGAACGGGGGAGGGGCAGAGAGAGAGGGAGACACAGAATCGGAAACAGGCTCCAGGCTCCGAGCCATCAGCCCAGAGCCCGACGCGGGGCTCGAACTCCCGGACCGCGAGATCGTGACCTGGCTGAAGTCGGACGCTTAACCGACTGCGCCAGCCAGGCGCCCCTTTGGTGGTTTTGTCTTTCTGGAATGAGTTGGCAGTCCATAGTGAGACCTAGGAAATAGTTCATGACCTTTAATACTCAACCATTTCATTCTGAGTTATACGTCCCAAGGAAATAACCTGAAAGGGAAGAAATATAAATGCACATTGATAATTATAAAACATTTGAAGGTCTTCATATTGAAAATGCCAACAAAGCGAGATGTTTATTTATTTATTTTGTTACTTATTTTATTTTGAGAGAGAGAGAGAGCGAGAGCGAGCAGGGGAGGGGCAGAGGAAGAGGGAGAGAATCCTAAGCAGGCTCCGTGCTGACCGGCTGAGTCCCACGACCCCGGGATCATGACCTGAGCTGAAATCAAGAGTCGGATGCTCAACCGGCCGAGCCACGCAGGCACCCAGGGAAAGAGTTTTCTATTATTTACACTCTTGTGTGGCGTCAAAAGCCCGAATGTGCGTTATCTCATGTAGTCCCCAGTGATGAAGCTGTGACACAGAAGTCACCCGGCTGGAACAGGGAACGTGGGGTTCTGTGTAGGCAGAAGGGGGACCTGGCCGTGGTGGGGAAGGGTGGGCGCGCCTGGAGCACTTTCCGCCACGGGGACGCCCAGAGGACCGGCGCGGAGTTGTCCTTAGGCCGGGAGGTGGCTGTGTTTGCGCGGTGTGGGAGGCGGGAGGGTGCAGGAGAAATTCAAATCCACTTGACCATCTTCTAGCGAAGACGTTTCGCAAAAGTCCAAACGGCCTGGGAGCGCAGGGAAACCCCTGTCTGACCCACCGGCTCCGGCGTCCTGGTTCCTCTGGCTCTGAACCTTTCACGACACCCGGCTTGGATTCGGATGCCCTGCCCGGCCCTTTCCCCTTTCTCCTAGTCACGCAAAGTCCAGGCTGAGGCTGGGCCCTCCCCTCTCTGCACCACCCGGGGCCAGAGTCAGAGCGACTGACCTGGGGCTGCGACCCTGGGCTGTGGGACAAGGTCCTTGCACTAGCAGGGGTGAGGCTGCCCTGGGGCAAGGGCCATCCTGTGCGGGTAATTGAGGACCCAGCGGGGAGCCGACACCCTGGTCACTGATGAGTGGACCGAGGTGTGGAGTGTTTACTGGCTGGACCTTGGGTCAAAGGTAATAATAATCACAACAGCAACAACAACAACA